TGCTTACCAATCCTACACAAAGTCTACAGACAGATGAAATTCCAACTTCTGACTTAACGCTGAACTTTAAAAAAAAATCAATTTCTTATCCCGATTAAAGAAAAGTACTGTTTGTATAACCCTTTGTTTTTGAGAAGACATTTGAAAATATATCAGGCTTTGGAGTTTTGGCTTGTTTAGATTAATTTTAAAATTTATTTTTAAAATTGCAACTTTCTCTTTAAAATTCTTTAATTTTTTTTTTTTGTACTGCACGGTTTTAAACTACGAAATAAAACCCCAAGCTAAAATTTCCAAATAACAATACCTTCACATTTAAAGTTTCTTAAATTTCAGCTTATTTACATCCTAGATTTTTAGTATTGTACTATAAATTCAGTCTGTAAGTTTTAATCAGTTTGTTCAACTCAAACCATTTGTGACTCTTTCTGGGGAGTGATTTTACATAAAAGCTTTAAAAATACCATTTATTAACCACATTAGTGAGATGTAGTTGGATTAAAATGTGTTAAACACAAGATTACCTCTGTTTTAAGTTCTTGACCAACTCATTACTTATTTACAATTTTTTAAAAATTTAAAAGCTGCTTAAATAACTGCTTCACTACTATGGTACATGGCAATTTGTTACATTCATTCGATTTGAGAGACTAAATCTGAACAGTAAACTGAACAGTTTTCTCAGAAGAAGTTGAAGATAATATGACTTACTACAGCTGAAAGTTAGCAATACACAGAAAAATCTTTGAACTTAATGATTTAAGCCAATTTTCTCAAAATCTTAAATATTTGCTGAAGAATAATCTTTTACCGGGTTTCAACTAAACTGAGTTATCTCCCCCTTGCCAAGACTTAAAAAAAAATTAAAATTATCTGTGGATAAATTTGTTATATTTTTGGCTAGCTCGTTTCTTTTTCTCCAGATAAAGATTGGTAAAATCTTTTATGAATGTAGAGAAATCAAACAATTTTATACTTCCTTCTTTTCTGTCACGCCCAGAGTTCTGATCGTTATATTTTTAAGGAAAAAAATTAACAATAGAAATGTATTTATAAACAGAAACCCACCAGCACCTAACACACATTGTGGCTGTTTACCTTCTCGGTTACTGATTATTTCGTTTGTTTCGTATTTTTCCAAACCAATTTCGTATTTATTTTTTCTCACCGTCTGCACCAAACGTCAGTGAAATTAGTACATTTCAGCTACAGAAATCGTTAATCCTTCAAGGTCGGTTTCAACTTCACCGGTCTTAGGGCAGCTTCAACGAAAACGTGGTCTTAGCATAGCTGACTTTACCCGGAATTTTTCGTTTGCTCTCCACCCCCCGCACCCCCCAGAGGTTGTTTGGTTTTGGTTAAAACAACCCTGCGGACCACAAAGGGAGCTGGGGAGGGAGGGGGTTGAACGAATTCTCTAGAAGTTTAGTTAAATTCAAGCACCTGGGAACATATTTGGTTGTGCTTCTTTGAAATGAAAAAGAAAAAGAAAAGGTAAAAGGAAAAAAAGACGGATACATTCGAAGACCCGAAATAAAAGATGAGTTCGGGGCAGTGCGCGTCCGAAACCCCGACCTCTAGGCTGGCCCCGGGTACCACGCGCTTGGGGCGAACAGTTAAAGGGCAGAGCGCGGCGAGCGGAAGCCCACCCCTCACCCACAGCACAGCCAACAAGGGAGCAAAGGGTTATTTTCGCGCCACAAAATATGCAAATACAGGGGCGGCCCGAGGGCCAATGGGTGGAGACCAGCTAAGACTCCAGAGGCGGCAACTCTCGATGATAGGCTCGCTGCCTCCACCAATCGGCGAGCGGCTCCAGCGAGGGCGGCGCCTCTCCCGGCGTTGGGTGAGGGTCTGAATCCTGCGGGGCCGCCCGTCCGCGTCGGAGCCCCGCCCTAGGTCGCTTTTCCGCGCCATCGACGGCCGCCCCGCCCCGCCAGATTAGACGCAGCCTTCGTTATTTCTCCGTGGGGACCGAGCATCCTCGAGCGTGCGCCCGCCTCGCGAGTTTAGACGCAGTCTCCTTGCATGGATGCCGCCGGGTGGTCAGGGCTCCAGCTGACCATGAAGACTTTCCCTTGTGTGCGTATCGACGGGTTTTCCCTCTCTGCACAGAGCTGGAGAAAGGAAACAAACCACCCCATCTTCTCAGTTCCTGGGCACCATGTTTAGTACAGATAGAAGTGACAGATTCTGGAGTGAGAGCAGACCCAGGTCTCGGATCTCGCCTCTGGTTTGAACAGAGTTCTGGGGAGCGGTTCTCGAGAAGAGTTGAAACGCGCCCACCGGAGGGGTGTCAGGCCCGGGCCGGGGAGACTTTGGGCCGCCTTCTGCTCTGCCCACAACCTGTGGCTACAGCCGCAGTAACGGACCTTGTAGGCATACTTTCACGTTACTCAGCACCTCAAACATTTTTTTTTTTTTTTTTTTTACCTTTCCGGGTCATCAGAAGAAATGCAGCTGTCGATTGTGTAAACAGATGGGTGGGAGTCCTTCTTCCGTGGAATTAATGTTAATTAGGGGGCTACAATTGCTGAAGATTCTGTACTGGTCCATACCCAAATAATGTGAGAAAATTCTTTAAGGCATCCATACAATTAATTTACGAATTTGAAGAGTTACACTGACTTCATATATATGTTCTGGAAAATTCAAGTATTTTTTGCTCTAAAAGCTAAATTAATTACCCATTTTTTTTTGTTTTGTTTTTAATTTTGCTACGGAGTATATACTCAACCTCTCCAGTGTTTGGAAGATTGGAAGTGGTTTATGTCCACTTCTTTTTGATGTTTCAACTTTATTACTTGAGTGTTAAGGTCCTAGACAAAGTATCCAGTTTGTTACAACAATAAAACAGATTAAATTCACAGGAGCCCAAGAACAAATTCATTAAATCGCCACACACTTGGTTTAAATTCCAGCTGTTAAAATTTGTTTAACACTGACAGACAAAAATCAAAAATAATTTATCTCATGTTTTAAAGGAAGTAATTTCGTTAGGTATCTTTTTTTTTAATAAAACAGTTAACGGGGGGAATCAATACAATTAGGTAGCAAGCTGATCAGTTTGTTATTAAAAAATATTGTTATGATCAGACTCTTGGAAGTGATTTCCAGAAAAGCAAACATTATGAATAAAAACATTTCTCCAACTAGGCTTGGTTCACATGAAGTACTACAAAAATAAATTCGTAAACTTTATACTGATATTTTTTTCAATGCCACAGAAGCCTAAAGGAATATATATTTCCCTTGAGAGCCGTTTTTCTTTCAAAATGCATGAAGGTGAAGAATAGGTTTTTTTTTAAATAGCTAACTTAGCTTCAGGAATTCCCTTCCAAAGTTGTTCTCTCCAGAGTTCCAATAGTTCTGAATACTGTGTCATAATTTCATAAAGACCATTTTACTATATTAAGCTTAGGTGAAAATACTGTTAAAGTGTGTTTTATACAGTTGGCTTGCTTAGCAGGAGAGAAAAACCTGTTAGAAGGAACAGTTGCATTTAAAATGGATGATCTGACACCTTCCGGTTACTTAACACAAAAGTATAAGTTCCTTTAAAAAAAGACACAATGCCAATACTCTGGATCCTTCAATAATTTCACGTTTTAAAAACAACCTGCTACTGTCATTTCTTTAAGAGATACTTTAAAGTATTAATAAGGTTTTTTGAAAGAGCACATCACATCAAACTATCAATTGCTGAAGGCGTTTGTAGTATGAAGCACATATTTTCTCTATTCACATTTTTCAACTTGCGAGAAGTAGCAAAACATTAGATTTTTTTGCCTGTATGTTCAGGCTACATTGAACTTAATTTCAGTCATCAAAGCTCGGCAATTTCTCTTTTCCATAAAATACCTGTTAAAAATATATCACAAGTTCTCTCTGAAGCCTTTGAGTAGAGCACACAACCATAAAAGCACAGTTGAAGGTGCTCACAAGGACAGGGGGAACTGCCTTCTTTCCGTATTCCTGTTCTCCCGCTCTCATTTAGCAGGCTCAGGAAGGCTCCACCGGGCCCAGACCCAACCCCCCAACCACCATTGTGCTCGTTACCTACAGGGAAAATTATGAATGGCTCTCACAGTCAAAGGAAGGCAGAAAGAGCCGAGGAACAGTTCCCCAACGCCGACGCCACCTAAGGCTGACGCTGAACAAGGGTTCCCTGAAGAGTTCCAAGTTCTTTACCAAAAATTATTTAAATAAAAGTAGCAGCCCCCTCCCCCAGCCCTCCCCCTTCGAGAAACCACAGGAAGCGAGGGTTTCCCTTTAAGTACCGACTTTTCCCACTCGGCCACCCCCAGCCCCACAGCCTCCGCCCCGCGCCCCTCCCCCACGCGGCCAGCCCGCCCCCGGCCTCATTTATCCAGAGTCTTCTCGCAACCGAGCAGCCAATGAACGGCGAGGCGGAGAGCCACCCGGAGCGCAGGCGGAGGAGGTGTCGCGTAGACACCCGCCCAGGACGCCGGCTCCCCTCCCCCACGCCGGCCCGGGCCGCCCCGCTCGCTGGCTCGCTCGCTCGCTCGCTCGCTCGGTCCCCGGGGCCCTCGAGGGGAGCGGCGCTCTGCCCCCGGGTTCTACTTTTTTCTCCCCCGGTCATCAGAGCCACCTTACGAGTTCGAGATTGTCATTCAGATTTCGTTGTTAAGTGACCCTTTTTTTTTGTTTTGTTTTCAAAAAATCGAATGGTTAAAACTACCGTAACTAACGGCGGGACTCCCTAACCGCTTCCTCATCTTAAGAAAAAAAAAAAGGATCGTTCGTCTGACCCTCCCGAGGCTCCGAGCCTTTCGGAACTCGCCGTGCCCATCGCGCCTGGCGCCGGCGGCAGCGGCTGGGCGCTCTCCACCCCCTTCCCGGCTCGGGGTCCCTCGCCCAATCTCGCTTCCCCTCCCCCTCTCTCGCTTCTTTTTTTTTTTTTTTTTTTTTTCTCTTTCCTCCGAAACCCACTCTAATTGAGGCGCTGGGATTCCTCACGTGAGACGTTGATTTGTAGTTTGAACACGTGGCTCATTCAAAAAGCCGGACACTCGGAGCGGCTGCCCCCGCCCCGCTCCCCTCGCCGCTGCCAGTCACCCCTCGGGGTTTTTTTACGGGGAGGCGGCGCCTGCCCCACGTAGTGTGATATTTTCACAGCCCGCTGGCCGCTGCCAAAGGGGTTGGGGAGGAAGAGACAAAAAGTAGTTTCCCCCCCGCGCCTCCTCCTTTCTCTCGCTAATCCCGCCTCCTCCCCAGAGTTAGGAAGACTCGACGCTGGGCTCGTCGCTAGGCTGTTTCTTTCTCTCTCTTTTTTTTAATACCCAGAAGAGGAAAAAAGGACCCTGGGATCTGGTTTTCGCCCGCCGCTCCCGTGCCTGGGTCACTGTGTGTGGGTTTGAAAGCCGAGAGGAGAGGAACAAAATCCACCGGCTTCATCCTCCGCCGTGGGTGCTTTTTTTTTTAAATTGAGCATTTTCCTCGGGTTTTTAAAACGACCCCTCTTCACAATGAATAAATTGTACATCGGGAACCTCAGCGACCACGCCGGCCCCGCGGACCTGGAAAGTGTCTTCAAGGACGCTAAGATCCCGGTGGCCGGCCCCTTCCTGGTGAAGACGGGCTACGCGTTCGTGGACTGCCCGGACGAGGGCTGGGCCCTCAAGGCCATCGAGGCGCTTTCAGGTGGGGTCCGCGCGCGTGGTCGGGGCGTCCCCGTGTCGGCAGCTGCCTTCCGGGACCCCGCTTGCGGGGCGGGTGGGGGTGGGGAGGGGGACGCGCTGTCAGTCGCGGGGCGCGGCGCGTGCTGCAGGCCGGGCCAGGCGGGCCTTGGGGCCCAGCGCGGACGCCCGCCGGGCCCTCTCTCTCTGCTCGCTGTCCCCCCAGCCGTAGAGAACAGAAAGTGGCCTGAGCCTCACGCCCGAGGGAGGCCGCGTCCGGGCCGTCCCGCTCCACCCCGCCGCGTCCACCTCGCGGGGTCGTTGGAGCGAAAGGGGCAGGTGGGCGGCGGCGGCCGGCTGTTGCCAGAACGGCAGCCCTGCCACGCGCGGCGCCGCAGTCCCGGCCCGTGCGCGCAGCCGCGGCCGGGGAGACTGGGTGCGCTCTGCCTGGATGCCCGAGGGGAGAGCAGCTGTCCCTGCCTTTCGGTTTCCACCGTCCCCGGCTGGACTCGAGGCCGGCGCCTTGATGGGTCAGCGCGTGTGGACCAGCACCCCGGCCGCCGAATCCCCTCCTGGCACCTCGGCTCTTTAATCCCACCACCCAGTGCTCCAGGCCAACCTGGACGTGGACCAGAAAGAAGGCCGCGCGCCCCTAGGGCAGGCTGTTGGTTGGGGATGCACCTCTTGCAGACCTTGGGGTGCTAGGTGGCCCTCGGAAGGGGGTCAGGAGGCGAAAATTGCAACACAAGTGGTGAGCCTGACGATTGCTCTCCCTCTCCAGCTTTCTGCAAGTTAAAAAGCCACACCCACCCGAAGGGTCAGCTCTGCACCCTCGCCTTGCCCTGTTCCTCCCTTGTCCTTGAGTGGGGTGGGAATCTTGGGGCTCTGCTGAGGACACCGAAGCAGGCTGTGTTTTCTCTTAAAGACTGCAGATTTCGAGGTGGGGAGAGCTCCTGAATCTAGCCAGTTGTCTTGCCTCTTGTGTGTCCCCAGGTAAAATGGAACTACATGGGAAACCGATGGAAGTTGAGCACTCCGTCCCTAAACGGCAGAGGTGAGCCCATTTACCCTTTTCTGGCTGCTTTTTAGGGAGGAAGTACTGAACACAGATGAAAACTAGGACCCTTTGGCTTACACGCCGGGGCCACAGATCAGCTTGCTCTTTTTCTGCTTGCGTTTAAGTTTATGGCAGGTGTGTGTGCGCGCGTTGATGATTCTGGGACATAGACCAGGGTTTGCCTGCGGCCCCTGCTTCGGGGTTATTGTTGCTGTTACGAATGCCTGTCAAGGACGCTCTCGGAGCTACATGTTCTTGGCAGAGCAGGTTTAGTCCCTTCAACGGGCAACCCGAGTTTCAAAAGCCAATAGTCTTTGGGAACCTACAGGATTTAGAGGGCAGGTCCAAGACAGATGTGCAGAAGCTGGTCTGCCGTGGTGGGCGCTTCTAAGAGAAAAGGAACACAGTTGCCTTTGCCCTGGTTCACTGGTGAGCCAGCGGCCATTGGAACACAGTGAATGCTGGGGTCCTGGGGCCTTTCAAACACTCCAAAGTTTTTTTTTTTCTTCCCCCTCAAACAGTGCCTTTGTTTCAGCTCCTCCTGCCCCTTGGTGTATTTTGCTTACAAATAATCATCAAGAGACAGTGAAGGCTGAGGGAAATTTATGCTACTTCAGTGAGATTTCTCTTCTCTTAGAGCATCTGTAGCTGTCACTTTACAAAATATTTGCAGGCTATTTCAGCTACTGAAGCTTGTTGAAGAAATGGCTTTTTCCCCTTCTCTGAACTCTATAACTCTTAACTGGAAAGACTGAGGTTAGCCTGCTGGGTTTTGCAAGGTGGAGTTAGGATTTCTGGCTTGCTTTTCAATCCCCCCCCCCCCCCAACCTGGAGCAAACAATAAGCTTGAAGTTAATTCAAACCAGGGCTGTGTGTATCTGGTTAAGTATTTCTGAGTGTGCTCTGGGGGACAGAGGGATTTGCCCTGCAGAGACAGGCAGGACAAGAAGAATGCTATGTGACTGTTTTGAATGAAGCTCTCTTCCACATGAATCATTTCACATTCCTGGTTTTAGGAATAAACTGGTGTGAATACTTGTAGGTTTCTCTTTTTAAGTACTTGCTTAATTTCTCCTAGGATAATTGGAAAGATATTTGTGTAACCCGACTTATGTCCATTTTGATAAGGGTCAAGTTATTTCATGTAGTAGAATGTAGTTCTTTTTTTTTTTAATCTTCTAAAGTAGATGTGGATAAAAAGTATCAAATTGATCTTGGTTTCATAGGAATTTAAACAATTGAGGGACAAATCACTTGTCCTTAAGAAGTCTAGAGATGTAGCCTATGAATCAGCTATTTTGGAAAAACGAAACTTATTGTATACATGCTAGTTGGTTTCATGTTTATCCAGTGTGTCTTAGTGCTTGTCCATCGGCTCCCTCCCATCCCCCACCCCCATCATTCCAGGGCTTCTTTTATTCAGGTGAGCACTCTACCACTTCAGCCACATCCCCTGCTCTTGATTTTTAAATCAACTGTAGAATTAAAAGTAAGCAATACAAAAAACAAAAAGCTGGTGTTGTGCCTTATTACTAGAATGATTGCTTAGCATGCTAGACAGAGGTCTTCGGCTCCAGAATCCTGGGGCAGGGCAAATGATTATAATTAACAAAGGAACTGTTCTGAATTTAAAACATTAAATGTATCTTTTAAACGTAAAAACATTTAAATGAGTTTTTCAGTCACAGGTAATGTGTTGACCTCTATTTGCTGTATCCTATGCTTTGTATTTTTGGAGTTAATGTCTCCCCATGTGTGGAGAATTAACTTCGGAACTTTGGTAACAACTGCTAGTCTTACCCCTAAAGCTTTGCTTAGCCTGAAAACAGTTCCTCATTACTTTGGAATTGCAGGGTTCCTCTCTTGGACAGCTAGGAGACAGTAACAAGTGGGAGCAAATGTTTACTGAAGCTTCTTCAGTTTATTAATAACAACAGAAACTTTTCCTGTCCCCCCCACGCCCCCCCCAAAATGCTTAGGGTTTTAAATTCAGTATTGCTAGCTCAGTGAAGTAAACCTTACAGGTAGAGTGAAGTAAACCGACTGAGAACCTCTTCTTTCTGACTTGGGAGCAAGTGAGTGCTCAAAATCCTTTACTGAATTGTTTTGCATAAAGACTTCTTTATCTCTCTGGGAAATTTACTGTTCATCTCCATTACAGTTTAGTTTTAACTGAACCTTGAAGCTGTGCAGTTTTCCTTATCTGAACTCTTCCATCATCTCACAGGCTCTGGAAGAGGGCCAAGAAGTGACCTGGGACCTACGTGCTCACTCCCATACCTATGGCAAGGTGGCTCTCCTGTGGATTACTTTGATAGGGACTTGATTGCACAGCACAATCAGATCGATTGATTGCCAAGGTGCCCTGCTGAACTTTGGGATGGAGTTTGTTACGCTTTGCAGTCATTTTCCACCACCATGTGGGCATTTGAGGCAGGCATGCCTACTTGTAGGGCAGTGACCTTTATACCTGTTTGCAAGGCATGTCGGGAACTGGGTGCTGGGGAATGCTTCTGGCAGCACTGAGAGGGACGAACAAGGGAGCAGGCACAGGGGTGATTGGATGCTTTGCAGGCTAGCTGCAAGCTGAGCTGGGCGGGACCCATTCAGGAAGGGGTATTGTTAAGTTTGGTTCAAACCAAGCTTAGTTCCCCCTTACTGAAGTCTCAAGGGAATGTGGAAGGAATGTGGCTTTTCTGCATTCAGATGCCCTTCTGTCGTAGATTACAGCACTGTGCACAGGGCTGGAGGATCCCTGTTTGCAGAAAAGGAGCATGCTTTGGACTCCGAGATGGTGTCACACCCTCGGTTCCAAATTCAAAGGATAAAGCATGGGAAACTCTGTAGCTCCCAGAGACAGGCCTGATTTTTTTTTTTTTTCTCTCTCGGATTTAAGGTGAGTGAGGAAGAAGCTTGCCTAGGAAGTATTGAAGCAATGTGTTTGGGAGAGCCAGTGGTGTCTGTAGGGCTTCTGGACTCTGCTGCCCTGATTTCGTTATGCTGTGGGCTGTTGGGCACAAGAGACGGAATGGTGAGCTGCTGACACTGCAGAACTGAGACACGGTGGTTTTAGCTAGATTTCCCTGACTTTCAGATCCGTGATTGTTTTTTCCTGTTTCCAGTTTTTCACAGCCTACTCATATTTGATAAGACTTGTGATTTATTTATTTAGCTCTTAGCCTTGGTTATGAACATTTGAGTAAAGGAGAGAAAGCATAAGATGTTCCAGTTAATGTGTACCAAGAGAGATCCTTAAATAGTTTGTGGTACTAACACTCAAGTACTTCATATTCTTAAGAAGAAGATAAAGGGAACAACCTACTTTGATACTGGGATCTTGTCTTATGGTGTCAGTTGAGTAGAACTTACTGGGGTTTTAAATTCATCTCACTGTAGGTGGCTATATAAAAACCAGTGTGTTGCATCAGTGGCTGTTAAGTGTAGAATAGGAGAATGCATTGCGCCCATTAGCTCAGAACATTGTGACTTCTGACTGTGGGGCCAGCTTCAAAGTCAGGAGAGCAAACGCTGTTTTCAGCATTGAACATTTAAACACAAGCTATTCCTTCATGGTATGGGACAGATAGTCTCACTTTTGAACTCTGGCTTAGTGTTAAGGAACTTGGCTGGGAAAGAGTTTCAAGCCCTCAGCTTTCGAGAGCATAACATACGTTCCGCAGTGTGTGATGAAGTGGTTGTGACTGGGTGACTGGGGGGATTTTTTTATTTTTTTATTTTTTTTTAATTTCCTACTAGCTCAATACAGTTAGAATTTGTGAGATTTCTTATTTTGGCCTTAAAAGAATTTTTAGGAAGCAAATGGTTGTTGCTAAGTAGCCTCTACCACGTTTTGTTCACAGTTACCCTGAAAAAGATGTTACTGAAATGTCACATGTATCCGGGGCCAATGGGAATAGGGAGCCTGGCCTCTGGTCTTTGGCCCTTGTTTTTTACCTGTGTGACTGCTGAGATTCTATTCAGCACCTTTTGTGACAAACTCCAAGGGGCATCATTTGGTCCAAGATTTGGCCACTTTCCTGGAAGCAAATGGGTTCTCAGATAGGCTTCAGATTTAAAAATACCTTTTGGAGTTATGGCAATCCACTGTTTTCCCTCTGTGGAGCTTCACTTGAAATTTTCTGTAGCACGGCAGTTACGTACCTTTCCCCGCCTTTTTCCTGTGTACAACTTTCAGGCAGTCAGTGAATGGAAAATTATCTTTGCCATGCTTTGAAGCCCTTTGTGAGCCCTGCCACTGTGTTGTGTTGTCATAGGACTAGGGTCTTGAACTAAAGTAAGGCTGTTGAACCACCTCCGTTTTTGTGCAATCCTCTCTTGCAGTTAGTTGTCCTTACCAGCATCCAGGCAGCGGCTTTCCTAGCAGTAATTGAGTTTTGAAAGGTCTGAATTATCCGGTCCTTCACTCTGACAGTTGGTTTGGACTGGGAGGAAGGAGAGGCAGAAAGATGGTTTGGCTGTGCTATTCTTAGCTCTGTTTCCTCTATCAACTGTTGCCTCTGATTCAAGCTTCCAGAGTCACAAGACAGGAGGTGGCACTGTGGTAGCAGTGACCAAAGGATTGGCGTGCTCAGTTAGGGTTTCTGCCCACATGTCCAATGTTTACAAATTGGCTTGTACTGCCAGGGTTTTGCTGGGAGGCTGATGGTAGGCATACTTTGCAGTGCTCTATTAAAATTGAAGGTGTAATTTATCATGACCTGAGGTTCTGTCAGGTAAGTGCTTAGCATTAGTGAATAAACAGCATCAACTATTAACATGGTATATGAATTTTATCGTCTGAAGCGGGGGACTCATACCAGTTGTACATGCTTTAGAGAATTATCCTGAGACCATTTGACTTGATTAGGAAATAGTTTGAACTTACTAAGGAAACCGTAGTAGAGCTGTAAGATGAAACAATCAAGTGTGGTGATTTTTCTTTGATCTTGCTGTATACCCCAGGCTCACTGCAGATTCTTTATTCTCCTGCCGTGGGC